CGCGTCGGCGTCGGCGGCGGCGTCGCCAAAGGTCCAGAGGCCGTTGAGATTGCGCCAGTCGTCGCGCCGGAGCTGCGGCCGGGGGTGCTCCGGCCACGGGTTCGTGCCGACGGCGTAGGTCCAGTCCGTGTCGAGCGGCGGCGTCTGCACCTTGTACGGCGTCGCGGTGCCCTGCACGCCGCCCCCGGTCCCCGCGACGTGCATCAGCGACACGCCGCCCCAGAGGACGCGCTGCAGGAGGTGCATGGCTGCGCTGGCCGTGCGGGCTGTCTCGTCGTGTCGTCTTTGTCCGCGGATCTAACGCCCGTGTCTGGTGCACAAGTACTGTGCTTGGGTGTGCTTGTCGTGTCGGCCAGGTCGGGGGGCACGCGCTTGAGCAGCTTGGGCAAAAAACACCAGACTGGACAATGCCGGATCTGCGTCTCCCTTTTAAACAAAAACAGGACGCGCAGCGCGGGCAGGACCATGCAGGCCACCAGACAGGTCGATTGACTTGCATCAATGTCTGACCGTCTGGTACGGCAGGGGGAGCGCTTGCCAACATTGAATTTGATGCAGTCTGGTCGCATCCCCCGCCCACGACCGGACACGACTCATCTTGGCGGACCACAACATTGACATTTTACACCAGACTCGACATTGTCCACGCGGTGAGACATGCGCCGATCGTCGTCATGGCAGCGCAAACGCCGAGGCCGTCGGACACAGGGCTGTCTTCCCGCGGAGGGCGACCAGACGCATTCCATCCACGCGCGCCTGGCAAGTCACGCCCAGCCGGCAGATGGACAAGACGGCCGGCTCCTTCAATCTTCGTCTCGGTCTTGGGGTCGCGGCTCCGACTGGCGCGCCAGAGACAATCGATCCATCAATGGGCCCGGGCCATGCTGGCGAGCTGGGCACGACGCTCCCTGCATCACGCGCGCACGGCATGCGCAATGTTTCGCGCGAGGGGGTGGAATTGGCACTGGGCCGTCCACATTTGATGCATGCTTTTTTTATTCACCCCGATTGCGGGGTATATTCCAGCGAGATTGTGCATGGCGGGGAGGAATCTTGGACATCGGAATCAATTGATCCCTGCCGCTTCAATGCTGGCCGATTGACTGGAAATGGAACCTGCTTTCAATGAATGTTGGTTCGCATCGCGGAATCTCGCGTTTATACTCGGTACAGTCCGCTTTAAATTATTCTTTATGCGCGACCAGGCAGGGGGGCTAATAATTTAACATTGAACACAAAAGGTCAACTGGTTCGTATGGCACGAGCGTAAAACCTTAACAGCTTCCCTGTCAGGTCGTGCATGGAGTCAAATGTAATTCAATGGGACTGTAGAGGCCGGCCGTGTGCAGGCTGCTCCATGTCCGCAGACGACCAACGTGCGTCATGCCGGACAGCTGGCACCGGCGCCGTCTTTTTTTAATTTACCAGACCAGACTTTTTTTATTTATTTTCGCAGCTTGACCGCTCTCTGCCCAAAGCGGAAATGATGCTCGTCTTGCAGAGCGTATGCCCGCCCGGCCCCGATGCACAATGCGCGATGCAGAGTCGTCGGTACGCCGGCACTTTTGTATGACGACCCGACACCGATGGATCCCGAGGCATGTTCTACGAGGGGGACATTTCCATCCTTCTCGTGCGAGGTGCGGAGACCAATGGCTCGCCTGGCGTCCGGCCTCGAGACCACCACGCGAGGTTACATGGCCGTGGCCGTCGGGAATGGCTGCCCACCCGTCGTGGCGGCGGTGCTCAATCGCCACCCATCATGTGGCCACAATGCATTGTTCCACACGAGCTTAAACTGTAATGGAACCATCCTTTGGTACCCCGTGAGCGAGCTCGCCCCGGCTCGAGCAGATGCCCCTTGTTTCTCGCCCGAGCAAGCTGATGGCACGGGTTCTTGTTGTCATATAGCCCAGGGCGTCAAGGCGCTAGATGTTTGCCGGCCGGCTGGTACCCCAACTGTCGATCCGTGGGCATGCAAAATTTGGGGGAAATAGACATGGAACCGCGTGTAGAGGCAGACACGGGTTGTTGCATCCGACGCCCCCGCGTACAGTCGCCAATGGAATATGCCGTGAGACGCTGTGTGAGCAGCAAAATTGCAATAGTGCAGCGGTAATGAGGAGAGGGTGTCGGTCCTCTGCGCCTGCAGCTGCCGGGGTCTGGTGAGGCATTTGGACTGGTGTCTTGCTGGCCGACGTGTGTGTCTTGAGGGACACTGTTTGAGCGTCGTGGAAAGAAGACGAGGCCTCGACTGGCAAGGCATTCCGGCTCGCTCGAACCAGTGTCTGCAGCAATCATCCTGGAGATGGGAGCAGTAGGTGTAGTCGCTGGCATTCCCATTGTGCAAAGAGGTCAACTGGTACCAGGATTCATGATGAAGGCTTCTACAGACAGATCAAGCGCGGCCTTGGAGGGACTGTTGTAGGATGACTGTGAAGCCTTGTGCGTCGGCATATATATATCTATTTTTTTTTTTAAAAAAAAAGACCCAAGAATCTTGAGTCAATCAAATGGAGCACGTCTCACAGGGTGCTGCACCACCTCATTCTTCAAGATGCCCATGCAATAGCAAACACAAAAACATTCCTCTCTTCTGCGCCGGACAAACACTCCAAACCGCCCCGC